ACATACATACACACACTCTGGTGTTTTCACATATGAAGTTGCCTGATGATATATTTCCCAAGATACAGCTATGAATGACCAAAAGATTCACTCAAATTAACCATTATTCCCTCATAGATCTGATTAGAATGTATAACTTTAAATAAAGGTTTTAGAGTAGATGTTTTATAGTCTGGAACATGTGTCTTTTTTCTGGGCACTCTTGATAAAATTGTTGTAAATTTGAGGAATGTGGGAGATGTGTTTCCTTTGTGTCATAATCGTCTATTACTATAAAATACATTACCCAAATCAACTTAAAGCAACTACTTAACTGTATAGTCTGGCTCAGGGCCCCTAATGAAGTTGTAATGAGTTGGCTGGGCCTGCAGTCATTTGACCACTTGACCAGAGCTGGAAGATCTGCTTTTCAGTATGACTTAACTTACATTTTATGGCTTTGCTGAAGACCTTAGTTTGTTCCTGGTTGTTGACAGGTAGGTCTTAGGTGCTCACCTTGTCCACTTTTCTCCATAGACATTGTATCTTCATGATGTGACTACCAGCCTTCCCCAGCGATCCAAGGGTGAGCAAGGAGGAACCCAGATTGCATTCTACATTCTAGTCTCAGAAACCATCTTGCCTCATACTCTGTTAGAGATAAATCATTAAGTCTATACCTCAGTTATGGAGAAAAGAATAAGGCTATTTTTTTCTCCCAAAAGGAGGAGTATTAAAGAATTTTTGGACAGATTTAAAAATTAGCAGAATAATTGGTGGTGGCAGCACATTTTAACTGTGCATTGGAAGGGGGGTATGGGTAGGTTATTTCTGTAGTTTAAAAAGATATGACTGATGATCAAGTGTTGCTTTTATATATAATATGTATAATATGTAATATATATATGTGGTGTTGATAAGTATGTATATTTTAGGTGAAACTAGGGCCACTGATTTCTTTGGATGGTGTATTTGTGTGTAGTTTTTTGGTCTCATGTTTGAAGGGCCTGTACAGGTGGAGGACACGTAAATTTGAAGGTTGTATACATTTGCTTGAGTGGATTGGATTTGGGAGAGTTACTGAAGGGCAAAAGGAACAGGTTTGTGTCTGAACAATTATGCTGGTATGTCTGAGACTGGGGCAGAGTAACACTTGAACAGACTGTTTTGACAGGATAACTGTAGACTTCTTGCTGTTTCTTGGCAGTACTGAGAATTGAACCTAGACCTTTGCACTCAACTATACCCTTACCCTAAGCCCTTTGCTATTTTTATTTTGAGACAAATCACTAAATTGCCCAGGCTGGGTTTAAAGTTGAACTACTCCTGCCTGCCTCAGCCTTCCAGTATGCTAGAGTTACAGGCATGCAGCACCACACTGGCTTTAGATTCCTCACTCTTAACTGGCAGGTTGCTACTTCATTTACAGACCCCAAAATACCACATCTATCCTTTGGTGGGGGACCACCTTTACTTTTCCATAAATGGGATTTAATGCATTTAATGCACAAGCATTCTACGTCTGTATACAAATCTACATGTATGAATTTTATATGGACCTTGCTTTACAAACCTGTAGGAGTGCATCTTACCCAATCTACCACATTTTAGCTTACCTTTTGTCAGCTCAAGGATCTCTCTGAGTTATCTCCAAACTCATACTCTTAACATTTTCAAGTTGAGCCCATGTATTCAGGTAGTGAGCAAATTTATTTGTATACTAAAGGATATTCTTTTCCCATTGGAACACATTCCAGAATATCTCTATTCTGAGTAACTTCTAGTGTGGGTTTTCCAACCAGGGCAGTTGTTTAAGGCATCATAGGTGAAACACACATACACACACACACACACACACACACGAACAAGGTCTCAATCTTGTAATATTAGGCCATGGTAATCTTCATTAATCTTCAGGATATTATTTTTATAGACATTTGGGTTTTAATAGGAAAAAGTGAAAATTAGTTGTTGATCATGAAGTACTTAAAATTAAGTTTAGGAAATTAAATGTTCAAGCAAAAATTCAATTTAGGGACATAAAACAAGCAATTTAAAAGACAAACTGTTAATTCCGCTAATAAAAAGTAGTGATGGGACTAGAGGCTCAGCAGGAGATTAGGAGTGATTTTTGGCTGTGGATATTAAATTACTTCACAGTTGTGGAAATGTGAAAGCATAGAAAAGAAGTAGGATGACATTTATGTGTGGCCATTTTCAGTCATTTCAGTTTAGCTGTTTTTGGATACCATTCAAGGCATAGTTATTTTAAATGCTGTTTTGTGTTTACCAAAACTGATGAATTCAGAAGAATCATAACACCTTGAATGTAACATTCTGAGATTCTGTAGGTTCACATGGAGGCTTGACCAGTTGTCTTTGCTTGTTTTTATGTTAGTTTGTGTCTGTCCTATAAATCCTCTGGAATTGCATGCAGGCACCTACTTTTGCTTTGCTTTTTCATCCTTTTTATGAAGGTTTGCAGGAGAGGCCCCACCTACTGAACTTTAGGAGCAACTAAAGAGTTGACATGCAGTAAACATTGTGTTTCTCTTAGTCTGCTCAGTACTTTAGAAACATAAATCATTTGTGTCCCAGGGACCAGAGAGAGTATTTTTCTGGGAAAATTACCCGAGATGCCCCATATTTCTCTTCACAAATCCATGGGGTTCTTGTTTTTACCTGTGTGGACCTGGAATAGCAGAATTAAATGAAAGGCATTTTAAGGGGGTATCTTTCTAGGATCATTTAAGAAATTTTATTTTGTAAATAGCCATTTTTTAAAGGTAGCTGATAGACGTAACTTCCATTACTTTCTTGAAGCTTTAGGTTAAACAGTAAGAAATGTCAACTATTTTTAATTAATTGGTGGGCAAAAAAAAAAAAAAAAATCCAACTGATCCCAAACTTGAATACACCCACACCCCAGTCTTTAAGGAATATGTTCCAAGACCTCCACTGATGACAAACCATGGCTAGCACAAAACCTCATATATAGACATATACTGTTTTTCCCCCTATATAAAAATACACATGATGGTTAAATTTATAAATTAGGCAAACAACTAAGAATTATTACAATAATATAATGTAATAAAAATTATTTAAAACCTATGAATTTATTTTTTGAACATTCTTTGTATTTTTCAAACCATGGAGGCTACAGTGCAGTATTTTAAAATTATTTTATAGTGGTAGCTACTTTAGGTAAGTACTAAATAATCCATAGGAGTGAATCAAATTACACCCTGCATTACCTATTTTGATGTTACTTTTCCATATTTTACCTTTCTGAAGTGACATTAAAATCTCCACCAGAATTAGAAAGTAGAATTGTAAAGTAATTGTATAAAAACTTCCCCTTTGACACTAGATTCAGAAAATGTGACATCAATTGGGGCTTAGAGCAGATGAGCCTATTTAGGCTCTGACCTTTGTGTTCTAAACTGGGGGGGAAATTGTTAAATAGTGTGCAGGCACACTAACATTTACCTTGTTTACTCATCTTTAAAGTAGGGAGAATTCTTCATTCTCAAATAGCATTGACTTTAAAACAAGTGGGGGAGCGGGGAGTATGCATTGTAGTACACCTCTGCAAGTAATCTATCTCTGTTAATGTTCCTTGATGACATTTGTAATCTTACACCAGTAAGGGTACCCTGAGCATTGTAAAATGTATAAACTCATTCCTCTATTGGTCACTAACTCAAACTTAGACGCTTTTGGGTAGCATGTGGTAGCATGGAAAATGATGGAGCAAAATAAGGCAAGAGAGAATACCACCATTATCCCACTACCTCCAAAAAAGCACCCATGCTCAGTGTATCATTTAGTTTGATGGATGCACAGATGGCACACGGAAAGAAAACTGATAGAATTTGAATAAACAGAAAAAAAAGATTCTGTGATTCTGTGATCAAATAAATGTGGAATCATTGACTGTGAGAACAAACTTAGACAAATTTAATACGGAATCTTTCAGTTATTACTTAAACAGTGTTATGTGTGTTTTCAGAATTCTTTTTTGATGTTAGCTGTATTTAAAAAATTTTTAAATTCATGCATGTTTGGATGTTTACAATCGTCTTAGAATGCGTATTTGTACCAAACACACCTTGATTCTTTTTATTTCCCTTTACCTCCCTACCCTCTTCCCTCCTTTCATCTCATCTCTAGACTCTTCCCCTCCATTTCAGTAGTATTACCATTTTTAGTTCATCCTTACGACGTCCAGATTATATATTGAGGATAGTTGGTACATGTTCATGACACATTTTAAATTCACATGCTTACCAGTGTTTTAGCAGCACAATTCATAATAGCTAAATCTTGGAAGCAGTATGTAT